TACAACAGACGATGCTGAATGATCTAGTCATTACGAAGGTTTAGTTGATTTGAAGATGTCATTATGGTGCTTTTATTGTGAGCCAAGGGACGAGTTGTTGAAACTCAGGGCCTACGATAATCTGATTTTTTTTTAAATCGCACGTTATTTATCAAGTTTCTTCGCTTTTCTAAAACTTAATTTGTGGAGTATTTTATCATTCACGGTGATGTAGGTTGTGTATGGTATTTGGTCATATAGGAGCGCCAAAAACGCTTGAAATCTATGAAACAAATATAGAGTTGAATAAACTTACTACTAGTGCAGCATAACACCTTTGCGATGCATATGGCTGGCATTCCTTCGAACTGGAACACAAAATTTTTAATACTTTTTCTCTATAAGCTACATATCTTCTGTTGCTTCTAAGCATACAAGCATCCAAATCATGAATTGAATTAGATAAAGTGGACGAAGCAGGGGCATAATCCCCAATTTGCAAAATGAGTTATGGCGTGTTTATGGCGTGATAGGAATAATCCGGTACAAAGCAAAAAAAATCCAGTGGATGAGAAAAATAGGAAAGCATTTTAAGACTTCGTAGACATTTAAAGTGCTGTACGTCTGGAAAAGCATGTCTACCGTACGCATTGAACAAAATGATATTTATCAATACATTAGCAATGAATCTAATAACACTTACCCTACAAAAATTTTCTGGACATGTTGCTCCCGGATTGCAATCTTCGGAAGCATAACATTCGCTATGTGAACAACATTGTCCATTTCCAAGGCATATTCCCTTGCCATCAGGACCTGAACAAAAAATCAATATATCGATTTGCAAAGATTGAATCAATAGCAACTTAAGGGTTTACTCCATATAGGTCCCTTCACGCAGCTTGATCAGAAAACAAGAGCACTTTGAATTTTTGGAATCTGAACTGATTACCAGAACTCTAAGTTGTGATTAAAAGTGACTAAATTGCAATATTCTTTCCAACTTAAATAAAATCACTGTCCATGCAAGTTCATGGTTTCTGAGTACACATCGCGCTATAGTAATTAAACTTCTCGCTAACTTGTTGCCCAAGTTTGTTTGAACACTAGGCAGAAACGTGGGGGAAAAGCCTATTCCTCTCGACGGTGT